TATATGTATGAAAATATGAATGAGAGTGAATCTTGGGTTGGCTTTTACTTTCAATGGTGAGCATGTTTAATATCAGTACCCATGATTTCGCATAGTGTACCTTTAAACTTCAGTGACTACATAACAGATAAAGGACAGGAAGGTTTTATTCCTGGAAAAAGCCCCGTACAGACACTACTGGGTTACAGTATGCCTGCTTTTGATTCATTATATACAACATTCACTCCACAGAGTATGGAAGGTGTCTCTAACCGAGGTAAACATAATGGTCTGTGTGTTTTGCACTACTGTGGCACCAGCTATTGAACCACTACCACCACTGCCGAGTTTTTTGAGAAACCTCTCACATGATTTAACACCGACAGCACACCCTGTGGCTCTTCCTGTCTTTCTGTCATTCAGAGCACAGTACTGTGTTTGTGTAGTCTGTGAGAATCTCCACATTAATTACCAATATTGTGAAAACTTCACACAGGATGTATCCTCACAGGACCTCCAATGCTGAGCACATAATTATTGTTGGACCTTTTCCTTTAAAAGTATCAGATACTGCCAGTTTAGCCAAGATTAAAGAACATAAGTTTTGTCTAATATTGTGTGTGTGTGTATGTGTGTGTGTGTCCCACCTGTGTGAGGGCGTTGGTCTGCTGCTGCTGTAGGCTCTGCTGGGGTGGTGGTGCCTGCTGCTGGATGGTGAGCTGCTGAGTTCCTGAATGGACGGGGTTAATTGTTGTTTGCTGGACCTGACCAGTCAAAGTAGCTGTTTGCTGGACCGAGCCCACCTGGGGGAGCTGCACGTTCATCGCTCCAGTCGGCTGCTGCAGCAACATCTTTGAGGAAGAGAACACTAACTGTCAGGCCACAGTGGTCTGTGTGCCGAGAGTTTGCACTGCACTTGTTTTTGTTCTTTTATTTGCCTAATCTAAATATTATTGTTATAACAGAATAGACTAATTTAATGAGAGCAAATTCTCTTCACAGGGCACACTCTGAGGTAGTGAAACAGTTTCCTCTGAATAGAACCAAAATAATACATAATGCATGATTCTTGTTGTGATCTAGGTCATGCGCAGCCAGGTAGAACACAACAGGAAAAGACAAAGCACAATAAACCTTCTGATCTTTAAAAAAGAAGAGAGGTTGCACGCTAGTTTTGCTCAAATAAGCAACTTTCCAAATTTGGAAAACATCATGTGGAGAAACCTGAATGTTACTGATAAGCTTTTTATTGTCTTCAAACAAAAAATATTTTTCAAAAAGATAAGTGTGCAGCTGCTCTGTGAGTAAAATGAACCCTTTCAGTGAACTGAAGTAGCTCTCTGCTTTATTGTTTGATTATAATTGGTTTCCATTTGCTATAAAAGGTTACAGCACAGCCAAATAAAACTGCCTGACTGACTGACACAATAAACTACAGTATGAATTTAATAAATATACAATAAGCAAACTCGACCTAAATCTATCCCATTCATATGACAAGGCTTCATCCTACATATAAAACTTCAGACAGCTATGGTGTTGTGAGTCTCCATCTTACCTGTATGCCCTGTCCCTGCACTCTCTGTAGCTGCTCCTGGATGTGTCTCAGCTCCTCCTGCTGCCGCTGGATGTTGGCTTGGATCAGTCTCGTCCTCTGCTCCAGCTGCTCCTTTAGATGCTGCATGGCATTCACCTGCGCTGAGAACTCCATCACCGGCTGTGGGTGGAGAGGAAAAGAAAAGGGTCCCTTACTTCTGCTTATGTGTGCATGCTGTTAGTGGCAACTGTTTTAATGTTCATTCGAAAAATCTAGCAAAAGAACAGCACAGAGTCCACAGTGGGTCTGTAGCTAATGATTATTTTATTATCTATTTGTCTAGCTATTATTTTCTCCATGCACTGATGTATCATTTTGGTCTATAAATAGTCAGAAAACAGTGAAGAATGCCAATCACAGTTGCCCAGAGCCGTATGTGACGCCTTCAAATGTCCTTTTTTTGTTATTTGTCTAATTATCCAAACGCTTATGGCATGCAGTTAACTATCATAGCATACCAAGAAACCAAGCAAATATTAACAGGGTTCATACAGACATCACAAATGAAATACAAGGACTTTCCAAGTAGTTTCTCAAGCATCATTTTTTTCATTTCCGAGGACGTCAGTCAGCAAAAACGCTAAGTCATTGTCAAATATCAGTTTCCATTAAACATATATTATGTGGTCAGTGTCTCGCTTTTCAGCAAAGGGTTACTTGTCACACTATTTCTATGCTAAACTATAAATTTCTCAACAAAACATCTGAATGTCTCAGAACCATCTGAAAGTAGCCCAAGGAAATGATGCCAGCTGGAACTCAAGTCATGTTAATGTCATGTTGACTTTAGCCACCTCAACATAGGCCTGCTGGTTTTGTTGGGGTTCTAAGAGTGGAGCAAAGTAAAAATAAACTATGATTATCAAGGCAAGGAAGAGAGGAGAGGGAGAGCGCACTGTGGAGAAGTAAGATGCCTCAGAATTTCAAATAAGAAAAAGCAAGCAATTTAATCATAATGACTTGATGAACAAAACTTTGGTCAAAATATTAGGCAGCGTTATTAAGTTAATTTGAATTTTCAGGGGCTATTTTCAGTGTATTTCAGTACTTGATGTTTCCCGTCAAAATTCAAGCACTTCAAGCACCTAGTGCAAACTCTGTTTTAAGCTTTTAAATCCTGGAAACACTGAAAAAAAAAACCACTTCATCTATTAAACAAAAATCCTGGAAACACTGAAAAAAAAAACCACTTCATCTATTAAACAAAAATCTACTGTTGTTTCACCAATCTCACCTGTACATTTGACTGTAACTGCTGTGGTTGTTGTGGTTGTTGTTGTTGTTGTTGCTGCTGCTGCTGCTGTTGTTGCTGTTGTTGTTGTTGTTGTTGTTGCTGCTGTTGTTGTTGTTGTTGCTGCTGCTGCTGCTGCTGCTGCTGTTGAGTGATCATAGCGGGAGTCACACTCTGGCTTGTGGTCTGAGAGCTCATAGACTGCAGATACACAGATAATCAAGAGAGTTATGGTAACGGAAGTGTAAGAAGTTTTTGTATTACCCTTCCTTAACCACACTGCATTTATAAAACAGTACGTTTTACGTTACTCATAATCACAAAAATGTGTGTATGTAAAAACAAGAAGTCTCAGTTTGTTATGTGCTGATGTTTTGGCCAATCAGGGCTCACCTGGCTGCTGATGGATGAGCGACGCTGTGATGTCATCTCCATGGTGGAGGCTAGTGATTGCCGGGGAGGCGTGGCTGTGTCCATGTGTAGCTTGGAGGCTGTTGCTGCAGACAGAGTCATTGATGAGTTAAGAGTCATACTCAGACCCTGCTGACAATATCGTATCATCTGACTGCAGAGCTTCCAATCCCATTCAGCTCCAAACTGATGTGTCACTGGCTCGTCTCTAGAGCGTGATATAAGGGTCTAACTGTTTGATACTATCGATGTGCATGCAACTTTGTGTATGTGTGTGTCCTTACAAGTGCAAGTGTTGTCAGAGACGTGCGATGAGGACTTGCGAGAACTTCGTGAGGAGGTTGAGGGTGTTCGGCTGCGATCAAATCGCTCCAGAGCCTCCTTGAGGCTGGACGTATTCAGCTGCGACTCTGAGCCCGAGTCCTGACTCTAAAAACAGGTAACCAGAGGAAAAAATACACTTGACAGCCGATCCTTTAAATATAAAAGTCTGCCTGCATACAGATGAAAATGACAGCGATTATGGGTCAGTGAGCAATGGACCATTCAGGATAAAATATACTGCATGTGCTATAGTCTTATATTACATTAGCAATAAATAATGTACAGTTATTAGATGGACAACCAAAACAGCTCATTTCTTTACAAATATAACTGAATTAATGTGAGATTGACAGCCATTATCCTGGTGTCTTTATCTGCTAGTGAAGAGTTTAACCTATGATACATCTGTTGTTCACACCTTAATGTCTTCACTGATCAAAGGGATTGAGATAACATCAGAGAACCACAAGCATTTTGCCAGAGATTTGTAGACAATGTGAGAAATGTTAAAGGGCAGTAGCAACTCAGTGACAGAAGTTATTGGATAACAAATTTGGGACAAAAATGCTTCCTATTTTGCTTCCTATTGTATGAGACAATTTCCATTAGAAGTTTTTGGGCTTTACTTTGTGAGCCTTGTAACATGTTGATAATATGATGGACTCTAATAAAGGCTTTAACATGTCGGGGGCTTGATTAGTAAATGACACAAAAATGTAAACGCTTTCCCACATCAAAACTGTTCATAACAGCAGGGATGCAAATTTGCAACGGGTGCAATAGGGCTGCCATTTTCGTGAAATTGTGACATGATGTCTGTTCCACACAACATACCTGGCTGATGCCTTGTTCTGCAGAGCTAAAGCTCAAAAAAAAAAAAAATCAACCTTGTTCCAAAAAGATAATAATCATGTTCTGCATTCTGCAAAAAAATATATTAACTTGCAAATTATTCATGGGAATAAACACCCCCAGTGATGAAGGCCTTCAGGCTAAATATATTATTTTGTATGTTGAATAAATTGTCACTGGAAATTTCAGTCACTCAATTGATAAAAGTTCAATTACAATTCCGATTAATTATGACTGATTCTGGTACTTCTTTTTTAATTGTGATACACGGGCTTAGACAACAATTCTACAACTGTAACTTAACCATATTTAATATCTTGTGTTATTTCTAATTACTGGGCTCATGCATTGATGAAAATTGATGAGTATAGACTAGGGCCGCCCCCTTAAAGTCAGAGATTCAAATCGTCAGTCCTAGACCTCTCAGTCTACTGAGATTGCCTCAAATTAGGCAGTGGTTTTTTTTTCTGTGCTCGCCAGTGTGCTGTGCAGTGTACTTCTGGGAACCAAAATGTCCCAAGATTTTTCTGCGGAGTGAGCGCTTTTGATTTTTCATGCCACTCTTTGGTACAGACGGCTACGGACATGATGCAGCGGCACAGAGGAGGAGAAACTCCCATCGTCAGGCTCCAAGGTAACATTATCTTCTCTCTTCTGCTTGGAGGTGGTGAATTTACAGCTCACAGATACTTGTTTGATATCTAGTGTTGGTAAAAAAATGCTGTCGTACATTTCACACTGTCACACTGAGCTTTCGGCTGAGCCCCATTCAAACTTTATAAATTTATATGGAAAATAACTCATATCTGATTCAAATATAGACTTGTTGTAGGTGTAATTTCTCACCTTATTTGCAGTGACTTCTGGGTTAGCCTCCTCAATGCCCAGCTCTCTGCGCTGTTCTGCCCTCACCTCTGCATAGCTGCATTTTAGACAAAAAACAGAGAGTTTAGGGACGACTCCAATGTGAAGAAAATATAGAAATGCTGTGCCACTGATAAACATATCACAAAAGTGCATATGAGGCCGTTTATTGTCACAGACTCTTATCAATGGTTTGGAAATGTCTCATGAGCAGAACAGAGAATCTGCAGTACCTGACTACTGTGTGCGTGCAGACAATAAACTCCGGTCGCGAGTTCCACTGGTGGTAGGTGATGTAGTAGTGCGTCTGAAGCCAGATCCACTGTTGACCTTTAGTCAGGAAACGATAGTAGCAAGACTTCCCTTTACCGTACTGCATCACTGAGCAGGAGAGAGACAGAGGCAGACAGGAGCAGAGTTGTCAGACACAAGCAGAAAAAGGCCTTAACAAAAAAATATTAATTGAGTCGTATGAGTCCTCACAATGTTCGTGACACTTGGCCAGTGTCTCAAGGTCGTCCACATGGTAATAGTCGTACCCTGATGTTCCCAGAACCTCAAAAGGCAGGTAGCCAATGATTGGTGGAGCTCTGAGAAAGAGAAGAGGCATCCTTATCAATTATGCTGACACACACACACACAATAAGGAAGGTAGGCTTCACAAAGTCCTTGAGTGCAAAGGTCAAAGTGACACAGACCAAGTAGGTGCTCTAAGCTTATAGTAAAGTATGTCACAGAGGTCAAACTTGATGTGGCTCAAAACTACATCTCTGCTGGAAGACACTTATTGTGTTGCACTGCGTTGTTCATGTTAGAAGTGACATAAATAGTTGTGTGAAGAATAAAAAAAGAGAACACTTCCACACAGCTGGCTAATAACAGTCAGTTTTCGTAAAGTTACAGAGATGGCCAGACACAGACCGCCCCAAACTGACATAGGAAAAGTGCGACCACCCTACAAGCACTTCTGACAGATTATAGTCCCAATATACACTTTGCAATTAGGATTTTCTCTGGAACCTTTTGGTTCATTTTTGATTTCCAAGGGACATTACCAACAGCCATAGATCAAAATGTCTCTGGACACAAATGGATAGACCTACAACCAATTACAGCAATGGAACAGGACATCGCACTGAGCTATGGACAAATATAAACAGACTACAGGGTGTCGAGATGAGCTGTGATGATGTAGCATCAATATGTCTGTGATGAAGTGTTGCTGTTTTTGGGATCAGAATTTTAAAACAGTACTTGAACAGAAAGTTCCACATCAGCTGCAGCCATCTTGGTTGTTTACCATAATGCCTCAATGGCACTCCTCTTTACTAGGCTAGGTTTATGCTCGCTGTCCTGTCCCCAGCGCAAAGGTACACGAGCCAAACATGATGTCATCACATATTTTGCGTTAAAAGGCCCCGCATGTTGTCAGTTATCGTATCAATCCCGCCCCACATTAGATAAACAGTTGTGACTGGCTCGAGGCAAGCCAGGCTGTGTGGAAATCTGCCCAAAGCTGAAGGGGACCAGACGTACAGTATCTGTCAGAGCAAATAAAACATGAGCTCATAGATTTGTCTGGTTCCCATGGCTATACTGACAGCTTAAGGAGTGAGACACATATAAATGTGTGTGTGTGTTTACCTATGGTCTAAGAAGAGAAACTTCCATTCTAGACTGTGCCTAGAGGTGAATTCTTCATTGGGCTCCTCCACTGTACACATCTCCTATGAATACAAAAACAACAGAAGAGAGACAGTATATTAGATAAATGATTTATTAGTGACAGTGTGATTTTATTTTTATGTGTGTGTGTGTGTGTGTGTGTGTCCAAGGCTACCTTGATAAACTGAGGTTTGGCCAGCCGAACAGTGGCTACAAAGCACACCTGGTCATCAAACGCAGGTTGTAGTGACCGCTGTAAAACCCCCGCTAGACCATTCCTCGCAACATTGGGGACTAAACAACACAGAGCAGAGTTTGCCTTGGTTTACCCCATCACTCAAGGAGTGCACAGTGTTCTTGACAGTGTTACCTTCAACGTATAATGAGCTTTACACAGAGCTTTGTGTCACTTTGTATTGATCCTCTTTCTTGTGAAATTAAATATCTTAACTTTTAAGTAATGGCTGCCTTTCTTTAATGCTATCTAGCTGTTCTAAAAATTCTCACAAGCAATATTGTTTGATTGACAAAAAACAACTTAAAAACATTGCTATTCAGGTGGCATACCGTTATTGAGTGATTTGAAGTTGCCAATGAACTTTACATATTCGTAGACAGGCGGTTCTTTGGGGTCAATGGTCCCTCGCAGCATATGGCAGCAGAACTCCAAGTGGTTCTTTGCTGGAGACAAAAAAAAATGATGTTATAGGTCGAAAGTCAGAGTTAAGTAAAAACAAACGTAAAAAACAACGATTATTTAAAACACATGAACAATGTGAAAGATGTAACAACATTTCATGGTGCTGAGAGGAAATCATGCAAAAAGTTAGACAGTATTTTTAAACTTTTTGTGGAGCTGCACTAAAAATCAACTGTGGTTCTTTGTTTAGCTATTCCAGTTTGAGAAGATGGCTCAGTGCAATGATTATTATATCCACAAAATTGCTTCTTTAGAAAACAGACAGGACAGGATTTATGCACACTAACAAAATTAGCCACAGAGTCAAAACAATTTAACTATCTTTACTGTTTTTTTCTGTACACCATCAGTATGGTTTATTTCACTCAATGGGATAAACATGGGTTTCTAGTTTCATATGTTGTTTCTGTCTCGTTTTCTTTCAATATTAAGGCTGAAACTCACATTTATGGCTTTAAAAATAAGATAACAGCCACATTCTGTGTACCATGATGTGAATGATATTCCCATATAACCACCAAACACACAATATAGCACTGTATTATTGGATAATGTTGAAAAAAAAGCAGCAAGCATGGTGTAATGTGACTTGGGGTGTTACTGACTCTTTAGGTAATCAGAGTTAAGGCTGTCGTGGTCGGTGGGGTGTGTGGACAGAGCCTTGTACACCTCGGAGTGTTCCCCTACTGGCAGGAAGTTTAACAGGTTCTGGTCCACCAAATCCGTCTGAAATAAAAAAAAAACACACGTGTGCATTAAAACACACACACCAAAAAAAATTGCTTAACCATTTCTACCATGTGTCCAAAAAATCTGGCTGAAGCTTGTTCTACAATACAGTGGCTGACTAATATCTACCAGGCAAGAGAAATCACCAGATGTTACTCACCGGTAGGTGTTCTAGTAGTGAGGTGATACTCTCAGAGACGTAGAGGATGTTCCCATCAGTCATTATTGCTATAAAGAACCCATCCAGAGCCTGACAGAGCAAGACAAGATAAAGACAAACATCTGTAAATGAAACATCGGCCTACAGCACTAGGCTGTCAACTGTTTGTCTTTTGTTAAATGTCAACAAAATAAACAATGAGTCAAAGCTGTTGAAATGATATTAGGGCTGTCCCCTGAAGGTCCAAGATTCAAATCATCAGTTGGTGACTGAGATTCTGCATGTCGAGTGGTCATTAGAAATGGGGAATTTACAGCTCACAGCAGCTTAATACAATACAGTCTTCGACTTTTTGCTTGATATATAGTGTCAGCAGAATATGTTGTTGCACATTTCCAATTTGTCATTACTGTACTTAGCTGTCATTAGCTTAGACGGTCATCTTGGTTTGTTTACTATATTACATGAACCCTGAATGGTCCGCCAGACCCTATTTAAACTCTCAAACTCTATATGGAAAAAGAGAAACGAATGGTTGAATATTAGACAGCCAAATCTGATTCAACTGACATAATTCTGAGAGGACAGACACTGAATGGTACAGCTGCTTTTTACTTGATTTGTAGAGATGATTTAAACCTAATCTTGATCTTGGTCACCTACCAAAAGAGTGAAGTAACGATAGATATACTGTAACACCTAACAGACAGAATTACAGTACAAAATGTGAGATTCCTGACCTCCAGCATGAGCTGGGTAAACTCCTCATTGCTAAGAAACGGAGGTTTCCAGTCCTGCCTGATCTCACTCGACTCCGACTGGGCTGCAATCTCTGGTGAAAGAAACAGAAAGCAGATGGAATTTTTAGGAAGAAAAATCAAGTCTTTCAGGAAACAGTCAAAACACGATGAGGCAATGGGACATAAATGCAGAGCAACTCGGTACAACACTGTATTGATAGTACAAGGCTCAGAGTGAAAACAAGGCAGTTAAACAGAACAAGAGATAACAGAGTGCACCAATGAAGCAGCAGCTGAGTTAATTATCATGCACAGCAGTGATAAGAGCTAGGATTGAAAAGAACAGTGACACACAACACAGAGCTCCAGACTAACTTTTTCCACCGATGCTCCCAAAAGATTTAGGAGCACCACCTGAAAAGACATGCAATAAAATAATCCTTTTTCTTTCATTTGAACTGTTTTAACTGTTGATAAGTGCTTTGGTAATTAATAGACAATTTACCAAAACAACAATGTGCAATTTCTTAAGTCACAAGGAAACTCTCAGCTACACAGCTCTGAAGTTCGCTGGTGTTCGTTGGGAACATAGCTAACCTTACCTAATGTTTACACGACAAGTATTTATAAATGTTGCTATTTCATGGTGCACAAAGGTGGAACTTTAATTTTTGCAATTGTCCGTATTTATACAGTAAAAATGCTTTAATTTGAGTCTGTGTGTAGTCAGAGTTGTCCTTAATTAATTTTGATTAATGTCAAGACTTTTTCAGCAATCCAAAATCAAAGAATAAAGTAAATTCCCTCCCATGTTAGTGGCATTTCTTAATTTATAAAAGTCTCAGGTAACATGTTTTACGCTTCCTTCGAACATAATCCAATCAATCTTATTTTCAAATGTGTACTTTGTATATACTCTGTGTTTACTATTTATTTTTTATTAAAGTGGATGAATTCATGTGAGTATCCTGAGCTGTTTCAGAGACATAAACGTCAGAATAGGGGCACTCCCATTTTAGCGGCAACTGGTCTGACTACGAAGATGAAAGTGACAGTGACGATGCCCTCTGAATGACCAGAGAACAACAGGACAGGATGTGTTTCAGCTTGGCTGACTGGGAAAATGTCACTTACGTCTCCATGGTCAAACCTGCCACAGAGTTGAAGACAGACAAAGACAGGGCAGGGCGGAGTCTTGGCGAGCAGACGCAGTAACATCACTCGTAAATCAACAAAAACACACCATGTCTCGCTCCTTCCTCGTGTTTTATACAATACATGACGATGATTTTGAAAAACAAAAATGTGAGCATATTTGCAAGTTGCACTGGTACTCGCACTGTCTCAAAATAAATATTGTTGCAAAATCAACTAAATGGTCACAGTCTGGAGCCCTGACACATGCGCAGTAATCAGCATGAGAGAATTACAATATTGAAGTGGTGATCAACTAAGATTATGAGTAGATGGGAAACAGAGGATGAGAGGAACAGGGTGTTAAGTTGCTCCATCACAGAAAAGGAAGTCATTAAAGTATGGCATACTTATTAATCAAAAAACATTAAGTCAACTTCACATAGTTAAATAGTTAAAACTAACTGCAGAGTAATTTACAGTACCCATGTCTCATAAAAGTGTAATAAGCTCTAGTAATGAGAGTAAACAAACACAGACCACAGCATACACAATAAGCACTAAATATAGAAGTGTCCACCCTGTGAGGTAAGGTGCCCTAACCTTTGTGTTTACACAGGAAGTCAATGCTTTTCTGCAGGATGGTGGACTTGTCCATCTTCCTGGTGTTGCCCGGCAACATCGTGCCGAGTTCCTTGATGAGGACATTGAACTGGTCTCTCCGCTTCTTCTCAGACTTGTTACGGGACACACTACAATCAAAACCACAGTGAAACATTAGAGTCCAAATGTCATTTAGTCAAAGTTTCTTTCTGACAAACATTTTAAAGAGACTTCTGGTTCTGATTTGAAAAAAATAAAACAACACTGAAAATCAGTGGGTGTAAAATTTTTGTCATGTGAGCCTATAATGTTATAAATTAAGACAGTGTGGCTTCTGTGAACAGCATACCACAAAGACATAGTATATTCTCTACAGGAGCTACAAACTCACTCATCTTTAAATGTCTCAAATGTTGGTTAATTTAATAAGTGCAGGTCTGGTCTAGACACAACCCTTTAAATACCCTGTGATGTTTTATGAAGAGGATTAATGTATTAATATTTAACACATACTACAAGTAGCATCACTCCAGCATGTTCATCTTTAGATCTAGCTTACCGTTTTGCTTTGTCCTTTTCATCTTCTTCCATCAACCCATCAAAGATGCTACAATCATCCCTGCAGGAAGAGAAAAAAATATATATTTGCAGTTTTCTCCATCTTACTCTGTGTTTTCCTGTGTGTGCACGTTTGTTGGCAGCTTGAAAGCAGATATGCATTGTTAATAATAGCGAATGACGGATGTTGGCTAATGAGAGGATTCCTACATGCCAGGAGCATGTTTATTTTTGGGTCACACAAAAAAGAGAAAGAGAGGGAGAGAAGGAATGTGTTGTGCTTGCCAGGAAGACTACGAGTGCATTTGTGAAACAGGGCGTGTACTTGCCTAGATTTCAATTAATATGGGTCAAAACAAATACTTTCATTTGTACTGGCGGGTAATTTCTGGAACTGTTATTTAAAGGGATAGTAGACAATCCAATCTTTATACCTTATTACGTCACAAAAAGAGTTTTAACACTCTAGTTTTGCATTTGGGAGAGATTTGATTTTGTTTATTAACATTTTTGGACTGTCCAATGTATGAATTTTGAAATGGGCATAGTTCCCCTTTAAGTGAACGCTGTGTTTCGAATATTTACACCACTTTACCTTGCCGTCAAAGAACCCTTTCTGAGGGGGAACTGAAGCCGGTATCTATGCTCTCTGAAAAGCCAGACTCCATTAACAAACACTGTAATTTTACCTTGCAGAACATGGGAGCTGCTGGTGTACCGCTGCCTCCATCAGTTAGTATGTTTCTGTTATCATGTGACTTGTGAACTATCCTTTTAGTATCTTTAAAATGTGACTATTGATGCCAAAACACAAGAAGTTTCTTAAGAATTTTATTGTAGCGCATCATTTCATAATAATAATAGTAATTATAATTATTGTCATTATTATTATTGTTATAAATGAGAAGTATTTCTTTAATTAATATTAAACACTTATGAGAATAATGTTTTTTGCAAAGCTATATATGAACATACTTTGCGCCTAACACAGGTATAGCGTGTTTGAATGTCATTTATGATAAACTGACATATTGCACATGTGTGTTGCAGCATACCCTATGCTTGATGTCATGGTGGTTGCTGATCAGGGCTGTGGCTGCAGTGATTTGCTCTTTAGGCGTGAGGTAGGCATTTGGAAGACCACCTGGAGAGACAGGAAAACAAGTATTGTGTTAGCCTAAGTGCCAGTTATGATTTACATCTATTGCAATTCACTTGACTAAAAACATGAGCAAATGTTTGGGCACACAACATACTGCAATATCATTCTTTCTATTAAAAGAATGCATCACTTTTAAATTAAATCTCATCTTGGCACTAAAAATTGAAATCAGACTGAAATGCAAGCAACTAAATGCACACACACACACACACTCACACACAAAGACAAACAGGTTCACTGGTCAGGTCTCAGATTTATGGAAGCTTGATGAGTCCTTGCTAAAACATGCAAAAAAGAAAACAAGTATCTGTGTACAGTATGTGTTAGTAAAAGGCATGTTTAATGTTTTGAATGTTTTTTTCATGTAGTGTGCCATTCTCCAACGCTAATCACAATAATAAGTGTTCCCCCAGGGTTCTGTGGCTTTCTTTGGCTGCTCCTTTTAGATTTCATATACAACTGATGTTTCAGAGTCAGCATTACTGAATATTGAATATTAGCACAGATGTCAGAAAAAGACCATATTTGTGGTCAATATAACATTGTAACATATGCTGCAATATGTGTTGGGTAACGTATCTCTAATTATAGTGTAGTTACATTTACTCAGTTGCAAAGATGCATGACCAAACCTAATTGTGTGTGTGTGTGTGTGTGTGTGTGTGTGTGTGTAGTCACTTCTCACCCCAATGCGGTTTATGCACGTGGTCAGTTAATGTCTTTTCTCAGGGGTCGTAGAAAGGGTTTGGGGTCAAAGCTGACTCTATGGTCAAAACTGCCGTTGAGGTCATTGGGGTCACGAGAGGGCACCAGACAACGGGAAAGACATGGTGATCAACCAAACCTGCGAGAGAAATCAGAGTAGAAAACTCAGGTCATGGGGGGTCATTAGGTCAATACGAGGGAAGCTTAATGCAATTTTACATCTTTAGTGCAGAAGAGATAGTGAAGAAAATTAAGTTCTTGGTCAGATAATAAGTCCAGGGGCGTTGGTGGCTTAGTGGGTACGCCCCACGTACAAGGCTGTTGCCGCAGCGGCCCGGGTTCGAATCCAGCCTGTGGCCCTTTGCTGCATTCATCCCCCCTCTCTCTCCCCCTTTCACACTTACCTGTCCTGTCCATTAAAGGCAAAATGCCCCAAAAAATATCAAAAAATAAATAAATACATAAATAAATAATTAATTGGCAGCACGATGGTGTGGTGGTTAGCACTGTTGCCTCACAGCAAGAGGGTTGCCAGTTCGATCCCGGGTGTGGGAGCCCTTCTGTGCGGAGTTTGCATGCTCTCCCCGTGTCAGCATGGGTTCTCTCCGGGCACTCCGGCTTCCTCCCACAGTCCAAAAACATGCAGATTGGGGACTAGGTTAATTGATAACTCTAAATTGTCCGTAGGTGTGAGCGTGAATGGTTGTTTGTCTTTATGTGTCTCTCGCCCGATGTCAGCTGGGATAGGCTCCAGCCCCCCACGACCCTCAAGAGGATGAAGCGGTTAGAAGATGAATGAATGAATAATAATTAATTATCAGTTTTACTGTGTTTAACAAATTTTACAGTGCATCATTTAGCATATATTAAATTGGACCCTGCTGCAAAAAAGTACAGCTGCTTCTAATTAATACTGTCTGACTTTCTAATCAACTTACTACTAAACAAACTGATAAATAATTAATGAAACAGATTTAATTAGGTAAGACTCTTGAAAGATCTTGAAATTCCAGTGACTGCAGCACACAGTCTTTAAAGTGCACATAGCGTACATCAATGCAGCGAGGAAAACCTGCAATAAATCAATTATTATGCTTAAATTATTAGTACTTCAGAGACTCTTTAGGAGCACAGTGACCCAGTTATGAAAAAGTGGTGATTAAGTATTTTTTAACTTACTTTCTGGAATGTCTCTTTGCAGGAAAAACTAGCTGCTTTAGTTCCTATTCTTCCAGGCACTGACAAATCCTCATGGGTTGGCCACACCTCACCTGCAAGACAAAAAAAACGCAGACCCATTCACAAACATACCAGGGTGCCTGTGTTCACTGTTTACAGTGGATGCAAATTTTAGAGGCTAACGAGTAAAGTAAACATGTTAATTGCTGCAAGTTAAAAACAGGTTATTGAAGCTGCAGTCAACTAATAAAATGTGTCTGACCAACACTCCAAGACTAAAATACACTCATACTACTTTAAGATCAGGACTGTGATTGATGCTTGTTTTAATTTAGAATAAATCTACCTTTTTTTTTTTAATTAAAAGATCTATCATTTGGTTTATTCACTGTCACATCACAGTGAAAAATGGCTTCCTGAAGCAGAATGCACCCACATTAGAGAAGCTGGCATTTTTGCTAGAAATTTAAGCAATTAATCTGTTACTCAAATGGTTGATATTTTTTTGTCAATCAACTGTTTAGGCTAGGCTCCATTATTTTCATCATCAGAAAATAGTGAAAAATGCCCATCACACATTCCCACAGCACAAGGTGGCATCTTTAAAGTGCTTGCCATGTCTGACAGTCTAAAGCAGCAAATCTGTACAACTCAGAATGCTGACATTGGCAAAGGCTGGCATTTTTTCTTTCATGTAAAAATCAAGTAATTACTTTTGTGATGTGGTGAACACTTTGACTGTAAATTCTTTAACTTGTCAAGCAGACCCAACACCAATCTGACAACATGACACCCCTTAGACTGAATTGTGTCCCCATGATCTAAGAGGATTTTGCAGGGTTTTTTTTGTAAGATATGACAATAGACAGGGAGGCCAGAGTGGGTACAGTATACCTATGGATAATATTATCACCCTGTTAGATTAACACTACCTTATTTAGGATGTCTACAGGCATCAGGCACTTAAATTCAATGCTTTTTGAGACCCTTTCAAGACAGTTTTCAACCAAATTTAAGACTGACTTTTGGACAAGTCATCTTTTCTTATTCAAGCATTGCAGGCTAGTACAATAGTTAGTCTTACATATGTGGTCCTGTGCAGTTAGGTTTTATGTAGGAATATGGTATGGGATATATAAAATGAAAAGACCTGTAACACATTTGTAACATGAGAAAAATGCATTTTCACACTGAAGATCTTTACTTATTTTGACAAAAAGAAATTCAAAGATGGACAAATTAAATTTTTGTGGCAGACTGTTTAAAGACTTTTAAGGCCTAAAATTTATAAAACTGAATTTAAGACATTTAATAACTTTTAAAGAACCTGCAGACACCCTGATCTTATTGCACAAATGTTAGTGGGAGACATTTGAGAGATGTGGGCATTTCATTTTGATTGACCATCTTAAGGATCCCATGTGTCCCTGCTTTGGGCTGCACTGGCCTGACGTACAGTCTTTCCTGATGGCCAGTAAGTGATGCCTCATTAGACTGTGCTTCTCCATTGGACGGGTCTGTCTACTGTATACCATTGATAATGAATAAACACTGATAATGGCAACATGGTCCATATTATAGAGTCGACCACACCAGCCATTAGCCATCAGATAATACACGGTTGCAATTTAAATATACCTTTTAGTGCCACAGGTGTTAGTTATACAACCAAAAGAGAGCAACCCATATAATAGCTAGCTAGCAGGCTAACTAAGCTTGCTACCGAAAACTGCCCATTTAACTGTGAGATTTAATGCTCTTACTGCCCCCGTTTCCTCCTCCTACACTCACATATGCTCAATAACACAGTTGTGACAGGCAACGCGTTTCACGTTTATGGAATAATAAGGAATATCAGCCTCTATCATGGCAAAGCAGGCACCGAGCCTCAAGCTGTCACGCAACAACTGACATTGAAGACGAAATAATCTGTAAAATATTACCGTTGGTCCTCAAACACCGCGAGAGAACTGAGCCCAAACGTCCGCGCGGGGAAAGATCCTCTCAAAAGCCGACGAAAACATGAATGTCCGCCGCGGAGAAATGTCTAAAACCAGCGATGGTGGAAACATTTTCGCGGCAGATGTATGTACACACACACACGGTCCCCGGGCACACACATACACACGCATTGACAGGGAGACGCGCACACGCTCGCCCACTCGTACACATAGACACTGGCTGCTCTGAATGTGGGTCACTGGGCCTTGCTCTCCCTCAAGCGTGCGGAAACAGTCCCGAAGCCTCCTCTGCAGTCCGACCGCTTCCGCACGCTTAAAAAAACACCGTTTACCGACCACCACGGCCGTGCTATTTCACAATCAGCGACCACCGCTGGCTTTGGATATGCATTTAAAAATCCTTACCTTCGCGAATAATCGACGGCAGCCTCCGTGTTTTGCTTACTTGAGCGTTGCATCGAGGCGGTGGGGGCCTGGAGGACTCCGGGTTGGGGAGAAAAACAGGAGGCCTACTTCATATTACGACGTACAGTCATGCGCAATAGAGACAGTAGGGCGCACTATTTTGCAAGTACAGTAGCAGCGAAACTGAGAGGATCGCTGAGTGTTCTTCAGAGGGGAAATGACTCCGCGCGTTTTTGTGGCTTTTCCAGCCGGGCCAGTCCACTGTCAGTGCCACCTGGTTTATGTTAGAGAATAAAAGGGACAAGGTAGCGAGTCTGCATACTGCAAATGAAGGCACTCAATGCGAGCGACGGAAACCACACCGGAAAGCCTTATAATTCGTATTTTATTTAAGTATAGGCTTAATACTTAGACTTTAAATGTTAAATGCCACCTTGTTTAAATAAACACACACATTTATATGAGTATGCATGATCAACACCACCATATTATTCGCGCGAACACACAGTTCACGTTAGATTGAATGGACTGTGAATGTGACATTGGACGGTCGCCAGGAGGGTGCAGCGCAGGGTAGGGATGGCCCTGCCTGATGGCAAGGGATTTCCCCTTTTATCGACATCCAATCAGAAGCTCTACAGACCGTGACGTTGTGACTATACTGTGTCGAGGTTCCCCCAAAGTCATATCATGGTGCGTTTTGACCTTTTTATGAGGCATAATGTAAGATTTCACGTTTATTTTACATTATCTTCAAACCACAATGACATTTTTATTGACATGCTTTTATTGGCATAACATGACATGATACACAGAAGTAAGAGCATTATTGCCTATATCACAGTTTACCACCCCTCTCTGGGCAAATACAGCATTCATAAACAAGGTAACATTAGATACAAGAGATGACAGAGGAGTTTGGTTATGTCATGGTCTCACTGATGGCTATTTATGCTGTATTAATGTATTAATTCATTGTTTTAATGGATGAGAGAATAGGATGTAATCAACAAATCAAAGATATACAGTTACTGTTGTGGAAATAAAGCCCTCCTGTCAGGATTACAGCACTGTTAAGGGACTGTTCGTTATTTATGGGGGGAGGGAGGTGGTACAAAACAGGAGAGGTAAGTCAAATAATTTTTTTTTAAGCACTGGGGAGGGACTTGTGTTTTTTATTTTGGCTTGTGGGAGGGACATACAACTTTAAATGCTTGTATTTTATTTATTTTAAATACTATTTCAACTTTAAAAACCACCAGCGAGTTTGAATGCCATGTTTTCTTTAAAATGGCTCAAATCCCACCATTTATCATAGACAGAAACTGTAAAAACTGAAATTATCATTGCTGTTTGTTTTGGTATTAACTCTTCTCTCCATGCTGTTTGTTTATTGCATTGGCTCCAATACCTACATTAGGTATGAATGAAAAAACATATGGGTAGGGCCTACTTAAGTGGTATTTAGAGTTGTGTGGCAAATCCTACGGCGTAGCCTACGCGCATCGCCTACGCTGTTGTTGTTAAGGGCAATAGCAAGTGAACCCAAATGCAGACACGAGTGGGAGTCAGTAATCAGTTAATTGTATTTATTGTAGAGACAGGGATACGGGGGTTGGATGTAGGGAAGCAGGTTGGGGAGTGGATCCAGAGGAGTTAAGGGAGAGCATGGTCGGGGACAAAGAGGTATAATGATGGCTGAGCGGTCTGGGTTATTCCAGTGGGGATGAGGAGGCAGGGCCGGAGTCAGGAGCGGTAAGACTGAAGACACACGAGCAAAAATTAGGCACGTAAAGAACTTTCAAAAAACAGAGCACAATTTCAAGACTTGAGCGTAACACTAACTATGTAGAGATTACGATCTGGCAGGGTGGAGATGGCAGAGCTGAGTATAAGAAGAGGTCTTGATTATGGCAATGAGGTGCACCAGGTGGCTCCACCCTGACTCTGGCATACCTGCAGACACACACACACATAGAGAGAGAAGGGAGGGGGAGGAAGACGGCTACTGTGACGTCGTTCCAGGGGCCGATGTAACAGTTGTGAGCATTTATACCTGTGCGGTGGTGTGTCACTCTGCAGTTACACCTCCAAAACACTAGTCTGCGGCGGAGGTTTCTGTGAAGTGCTGCAAAGTGTAGCCTAGTTGATTCAAAACACACCGAATGCACACTTTAAACATGGCTTAATAGAGACAATTTCAAACAAGTACAAAAATTGGCTTCATTCTAACTTGCAGTATTCGCAGACAAACACTTCTTCTGTTCTATCTGGACACATTTTCCCCACAAACAACATGCTAATGTCATTAGCACAAGCCTAAGGCTTTTTACATTGTATAAATTAGCCTAGCGTCTAGCGATCTTTTCTTATTCTCATATAAAACCAGAGACAACAACAACATTTAACAAAAGTACATAATTTGGCTCCATTACAACTCACAAGATTCACAGACAAACAACTGTCATATACTAAACGCGTTTTCCAGACAAATATAACATGCTAACGTTATTAGCACTAACCTATGGCATTTTACATTGTATAAATTAGCCAGAGATCTCCTCTGCTCATATGAAGCCAGGATAAATCCCTAAGTATAAATCCCTGAAGGTTAAATCACACACAGGACTTAAAATGCTATTTTTGTGGAGGCTTTATTGTCTTCACAATTTATTGTTTCTTATCTGTGAAATTTAAATTAAATAAAAGCTTCATTTCCACCAAGGGAAATGGTTTCAGCTTACAAAAATAGACAGGTTGTTACATTTCTTGGGAGGTACATGTCAGGCTAGAGCATTGATTCAACACAGAAGTATAAATTCCGCATTATGGTGAAGAAGGGGTCATGCATTTCCCCCCAGTCACTCAGGGACACTCAAGGAAAAATATTTGTAGCTTCCGGGAGAGTCAAGATAAAGTTAAAAAAAAAAAAAAATTAACATCCAAGCCACACAACTCCTCTTATAAGTAAAGAACAGTCCCTAATATAAAAATATCAAAACACAGTTCATCCTTTTTTTAAATAAGTACCTCATACCTTAAGTTAAATCATTCAAGAGTTAAAAAATACAGATAACTGCAAGTGTGCTGTTTCTTCTTAAATCCTGATTTTAAAACTAAAATCAAAATTACAGCTTTATTGTTGCCAAAAGTGTCCCTGTGACAGTGCTGCTACATTAGTACAGGGGCTTTGGCTATGTCATCCTCCTATATCAGTGCAGCACTTGAAATACTATGAGGCCATTATCAGGTCTAACAAAAGAAGCAACCTTTGGAACGTTTATTTTAGTCCAGCAAAGTGTGTGTGTAAATCAAGTCCTGCAGCCCCTGTGTTTGTGTGTGTTTACATGGATGTTAACACATTGTATGCAACATGTAATCATTCTCTGCCACCTATACACTCTTATTACTGCCACCTCACTGTTGCCCCTGACTGGGCACAGAGGCACCCAGAGAAGTGCACTGGCATGGCAGGGAGCTGTTGGGATCAAATTGAAGACATGCAGTATTGTCAGGAGTTTGGGAATACAGTGGGAGAAGTGGTCTCATGTGTTACATGATGAGGAACAGTGGTGAAGCTAGAAAGAGGTTGTTATTAATTATTTTAGCTTTAGGGTGAAAGGAGAGGGGAAGTGCATTTGGAGTCCTTTGCTCATATTTAATACATCAAGAGGAAAATATATTGTTCTGGGCTTTTCACAACCGTCTTTGCTCCAAAACTAGGTTAAATGTTTCTTGCAGATTGAAACATGATGATGGTGCATACTTTTTTTTATAGGCCTGGCTGCCTGCGTGACTCATTTTGTATCATGTCCTGAAAAACGGCTGCTGGAATTTGATCACGGGTTTTGCTTGTATTAACCATTAGTCATTGCTAAACTACCTACTCTGTTTTAACAGAGAAATACAGGACACAGGCAGGCAGGCCATTAGGAATTATAGACAGGAGGACATTGTTTTCCAAATTGGGCCCCTCGTCTACAACCATTGCACCACCACCACCACCCACCCTCAGCTCCAACACCAACGTGGGCAATTTCAAATATTTGAATATATTTGCTTATTTAGAATTCTTCAGAAACTTTGGACTTTCAAACACATGAAGAACCTCTACCTCATTTAAATGACATGTTCAGGTAAAATGGGGCACTTGTGCTTGTTTTTTATAAATGGTTAAATGTATTTATCATTTCAGTCATTAATTCATTCAATCATTAATTTAACTATTCATTAAGTGAGATTGTTGAACTTTTGTGCCATGCTTTCTGTGTTCTTTTGCCGCCTGTTTTCTTGGTTCCATATTGTCTACAATGGACATGCGCAAGTTTGCATGTAACAGGGATGGCTAATTCTGGACTACTGTAGATAACATGGAGTCACTGCTCCATCCTTAATATTTTTAAATGACAAAAATAGTAAAAAGGTCTGCAATATGAGAGGGTGGCACACAGTAGCATAAGTCATGATTTTGTGGCACCTGGTTTCACTTCAAAAAAATGTCACATTTTAGCTTAATTTTTTGTCTCATTTTACCTGAATGCATGAAGTATTCAATCAAAACCCTTTCCTTAAAAAAGTAAAGTGTATTGTAAAAGTGTTTTGATAATGAGTCAAACAGTTAATAAAATGTAATAAGCTATAACCATATTTGTTGTTGTACCCTCTTTGTTTGAGCTCTTATTTCCAAAAGGTGGAAATAAACATGCCACATGGTTTACTTTGCGAATTCTGGGACAAGTGATTTTTTTGTGTCTTTGCCCTGTCCATCTTTGTTATCTCAGACCAATCAAAATTACTGTTTTATGTGAAGCACATAGTAAAAATGCAGAAACACGTTTGGTGACTGGCTGCTTGTATTTAAAGAGCCCAGGATGTAAACCCCTACTTGTCCCACATAACCTGATGTCCCATTTACCTGACTTCACCCTAACCGTGTCTTCACAGATACAGATACATTAGTTATATAATACATCACAACATCAGCATAAGTTATGGCACAGACCTAAAATGCTAAAACACAGCTTTTCAAATGCAAAACAGCTATGAACTGACAACAGGCTCTGCAGCAATTATACAAAGCAAAATTAAATCAATCTT